ACACCAACCCTCAGAAAAGTAGTCCACTGAGATCTATCCCTACGACTAATCCACCTCATCTACACAGCCAGGGAGAATGTGCAAATTCCACACACACGGTTGCCTGAGGGTGGATCGAAACCAGGTCCCTGGTGCTGTGAGACAGCCGTGCTAACCACTGACCCGCTGTGCCACCCATTTTGGTTATAATTATTTCAAAGGTTTTTTTTTGAGAAAATATTTTTAATTTTCTAGGAACTGGAGAAATGAATGTTATGATTCTTCCACCTATCTTGTTAAAATAGATTTAAGCATTAATTTATTGTACCACTCTACTGGGAGAGTGGAATGTATTTGCAACCAAGTAGCTATACCTTGCTCCCTTGTGTTCAGTGTGTCTCATGAGGTAATGATTAAGTTAACACAGTTCTATTACAATTTGGGATTCTTTTAAGTCCGTGCTTACAGTGTCAAGGAAGATTGTATCAATAAAGATCTTTTTCAATTCCCAAATGGAAAATGTGCTGCGTCAAGTTTATCTCCTAATCCTTTGGAGTTGGTGGCAGCTGGAATATGGTGCTATCGACACAAACAGCCTTTGATAATTCACTGAAGTGCACGTAATGTGAATGACATTTTCCCCAGTCCAGGATGGAGACCAATTATAGGATCCCTGCTATCACCAGCTGAGGCCAGTAAGTTAACACGAAAGATTTTATTCAACCTACCATGATGTCAGTTTTTTTTTGGTCCCCTCACTTGATCATCAATTTTATCAACTGAGTGAGATACAAATTGCTGAGCAGTACTAGGTTGCACCACAGAAGGTGAACACAATATTTTCAGATATAACCTACATTTTCTCGCTTGTTTCCTTGTGAATATACAGGAGAAAGTACAACTGAAAATGTAAAATGACAAGTTTGTACTCACTAAATTTTCTGTTATTTAATTATGGAAGTTATCCCATTCAAACTAATCTGTACAATCTAGCTTTTTCACCAGTTTCCTCATGCAGTCGTTCAAAGGCAATCAGGCAGCATCCTTTCTGAACTCCATAAATCTGAACTATATGGCAGGAGGGGGAAAACCCTGGAGAAACAGTACTGGGATCCAAAAAGAATATGACAGACTTATGATGACCTATTGCATATTTTAATGCTGGGGTTCAAAAGTTGATAGTTAATTATGTATTTGAACTAATGCACATAAAGGGCAGGGTGTCATGTGACAGCAGCGGGATTTTCTTTCTCCCAGGCTGGCACATCAATGTTTGAAACTTCAATACTGGCATCCATACAGACATTTTATTTCATACAAGACATTTAACTGCAAATGATGAAGCTGTTTTAATTGGCATGTATGAAAAGTTAGAAAGATGAACGGTAACTTGGCCTATTAAAGATCATCCCTTCAGGACATTAATTTTCCTATGCTGTGAACAGTTAATATTAGAACCATATATTAGAACAGAACATGGGTTGGGAACTGAATTTAATGTCAGTATTTGAAAAAAATCATGAAATCTCAACTTGAGAACTTTTTTTAAAATGTAGAAACTAAGAAATATTGTAATGAATATGCAATATGGTTTCTAACAAACAAAATGTCTTCCTTGACCAAACAATGAATATTTTTTTTGAAGTAACTGCACAAGTAAGCAAGGCTAATGCAGTATGTGTAATATACCCAGATTAACAAAAGGCCTTCAAAGCATCACCTAGTACAGAAATTAATAAGATCAGAGTGTATTTTCATGGAACAAGTATCAGAATGAATAGTTCATCACACAAAGCCGATAGTTATTCAGAGTGGTAGAAGGTTGGAAATAGGGTTCAACAGGATCAGTGCTGGGATTGTTCACAGTTAACAAAGGTGTTTTTTTTTCATTTGTTGATTGGATATTAATGTTGGGAGTTAGGCCTGTATTTATTGTCCATCCCTAATTGCTCTGGAAGAGTTGGGACAACTATGAAATGGACAAACTGGAAGTTTCCCATCTCTGAATTAAAATAAAAGTTCATGATGTAGGCACAGAAATTGGTCTTAAACCTAGAAACATCATCTTTGGTACTGGTGTTCCACTACAAATATTTGGGAAAACAAATCACTTACATGATTTTGTGTTGTGGAAAAGTCTGTGTGTTGTGTTCATTAATATGGATGACTTGCATGCTCCTGTGGAGCTTGTTAATAATAAATAGTAAATACTAGAAAATTTCCGCATGTTATGACAGCATCTGCAGAGACAGAAAAACAGACTATTTGTCATCGATGGAAGAAGTTGGAAATTTAACAATATTTAAGCGTAATTTCACCACAGTTTTGTTAATTTCCAACAGAAGACTTCCCCGCACCATTTTCATTCCACACGATTTAATACATTGAAACATTTTGGTTTTTTGAACACAGCGCACACAATTTTTATACCTACGTTCATTTGCCAATATACTGTATGGGAATTTCAGCAAGATTGCAATTGAAGCTGTCTCTAATCGAAACAAAATAAAAACCAAAAGAACTGTGGATGCTGTAAATCAGAAACAAAAACAGAAATCGCTGGAAAAGCTTAGCAGGTCTGGCAGCAGCTGGAGACAAATTAGAGTTGACGTTTTGGATCGAGTGACGTTTTGGATCGAGTGACCTTTCCTCCAAAATATTGTAATGAATATGCAAAGTGATTTTCAACAAACAAAGTTTTCTTTGACCAAACAATGAATTTTTGAAGTAACTGCAAGTGTAAGTACAGAGCTGAAGAAGAGTCACTCTAAGGATCTTGAGTAGATTTGTAGCTCAGGTTGTGGATGCTGTGATTGGTTTGCTCACCGAGTTAGTTCGTTAGTTTGCAGACATTTCATTATCCTTGCTGGGTAACATCATCAGTGCAGCCTCTAATGAAGCGTTGTTGTGTTTTCTTGCTTATTACTTAAACTCTGGGGTCCATTGGAGTTGATTACCTCATTTCCGTTTTTTCTTTGCAGTGGTGTGTATATTGGGTCTAATTCTACGTGTTTATTGATGGCCTTCTTGGTGGAAAACCAGGCCTCTAGAAATTCCCGTGCTTGTTTCTGTTTGGCTTGTCCCAGGATATTGACATTGCCCCAATCAAACTGGTGGTTCTCCTTGTCTGTGTGTATGGCGACAAGTGAGTATTGGTCATGTCTTTTTTTGCTAGTTGGTGTTCATGTATTCTTGTGGCCAGTTTACTTTCTGTCTGTCCAACGTAACATTTGTCAGAGTCCTTGCATGGAATCTTGTATATTGCATTAGTTCTGTCCATTGTGGGTAAGGGATCTTTGGTTCTTGTTAGCAGTTGGTGTCGGATTAATATAGGTTTGTGTGCTACTCCAATGCCAAGTGGCCATAAGAGTCTTGTGGTCAGTTCGGATACATTCTTGATGTACGGTAATGTGAGAAGTGTGTTGGGGCATACTATATCTTCCTGTTGTTTGTGTGATAGGCATAGTTGGACGCAGCTGTTTGGGTATCAGTTGTCTCTAAATACTGGGTGGAGGTATTCTTATTTTTGGCTTAGTTCTGGGTTGCTGCACTGTATTGTGGCTCATTTGAACAGTGCTTTTATGCAACTCTGTGGGTGTTGCGGTGGTTACTGTTGAAATTAAGGACTTGTTTTGTGTGTGTGGCCTTTCTGTACACTTAGTTCAGAAATCCCCATTGGCCCTGCATTCTACCATCACGTCCAGGAATGGACTTTCTTCTTCTCTGGTGAATTTGATGCCATTGAAAACTAAACTCGGCTAAACTAGAAGAATAACACCGACTTATAAACATCATTTTCCGCAACCCAGAAGGACGCCAAAATGAAGAATACCTCCACCAAGTATTTAAAGAGAATGAATACCCGAACGATACCTGTCACACAAACAAGAAAAGGAAGATACACTATGCCCCCACACACTTGTCATGTTACTGTACATCAAGAACATATCTGAACTGACCATATGACTCCTTCCGCCACTGAGCATCAGCGTAGCCCACAAACCTACATCAACCCTATGCCAACTGCAACAAGAACCAGTGTAATATACAGATTCCATGCAGGGACTGCAACAAACATTTTATTGGACAGACAGGAATGAGACTGGCTACAAGGATACATTAACACCAACTAGCAACAAAAACGACACAACCCGTTCTCACTCCTCTTCATATACACAGACAAGGAGAACCACCAGTTCTTTTGCGACAACGTCAGGATCCTAGGACAAGCCAAACGGACAACCAGGGGAATTTCTGGAGGCCTGGTTTTCCACCAAGAAGGCCATCAATAAACACCCAGAATTAGACCCGAAATACACACACCCCTGCAAAGAAAAATCGGAAATGAGGTAATCACCTTGAACATTCCCCAGCGTTTAAAATAACAAGTGGGGAAAATACAACAACGCTTTATCAGAGGCTGCATTGATGATGTTACCCAGCAGGGTAATGAAACATCCGCAAACTAACAAACCAAACCACAGCAAGGGTCACTTCAATTAAAAGAACCTCGACAACATATGAACCAACACGAGCACAATACCAAAACCATGCAAAACAAAAAAAAGCAAAATGTATTTTTTTTCCTCTGGCAGTGCAGCTCGTTTTGGAACTTGCAGTGAGCAACTGCAGATGAAGAACATTTCCGAAAACGAAAGCAAAATACTGCGCATGCTGGAAATCTGAAGCAAACAGAGAAAACGCTGAAGAAACTCAGCTGTGGAGAGTTGACGTTTCCACTCTTCAGATCAGATGTGAAGACCATTTCCGGGTCTGCTCCCAGCGGAGCCGGCTGAGCGTGGGTTGGAAGCAATGCCGACCTCCAACCGTTTGGGGGTAGCAGCGGAGCGGGGGTCACCATTAGGAGCGGGTTTGGGGAGAGGCGGGGTTGGAAAGAGGAGGGAACACGTGGCGTCAGCGGCAGAAGCCGTTGCCTCTCCGGGGATGGGGGGAGAACCCGGAAGTCCCGACTCTTCCCGATAGAGGGCGCAGTTTCATCCTTTCCCCCTCCCCCACTCCGGCTGTCCTTTGTCCGCCAGATGGCAGCTTCACCTTCAGTCGGAGTGAGCGCAACGACATAAACCGCCGTTTGCCAGAGAGAGGAAAAAAAATAAAAATAAAAAAAGTCAGAAAAAAGCAAGCACTTTATCCGGTGAGGGCTTCAAGGGGGGGTGGGGAAGGATATCAGCCTGAGTTACTCGGAGCCCGAATATTAATAAAAAATATCGAGAAGGGGAGGGGGAAAAACCGGAATACAACAGTTGTGGAGAGAGAGGAAAAAAATAATTAAAAGGTAAGGAAGAGAATTTTTTTAACAACGTGGGGACGAAACGATAAGAATATTCTGGAAAGTGGGAAGTTGTGGAGATGGGGCAGGGGTGAAATGTTGGTGTGTTTCTCTCCTCGGGTGTTTTTTTTTAAAAGGCCTGTGTTTGAGGAGAGAGATTTGAGCAAAATGGAGGCCGGGGCCGGGCCCGGGGCCCGGGTTTGTTTTTAAAATTCGCAATTCGGGCCTAGTTAGAAAGAGTGAGAGATAAACCTGCCAACCCCTCTCCTCCTATTACTCCTTACCACCCCCCCTCCCTATCTCCACCCCCTCCCCGCAGATTAAACTCCTCCAACCTCTCCCCGTCCCAACTCCTGGCTTCCAGCCCCATTTACAAACCAGAACATAAACCCCCATACACACACACACGCGCAAAATGTCGAAATCACTATTTTTTTGGGGGGAGAGCTTTTTTTTTAGAAAAAGACTAAACAACAAAAAAATTGGTGTCGGCGACTTCGCGAGAGACTTTTTGGCGCCACTTTCTTTTTATTTTTGTTTTTTAATTGCCCTTTTTTGGCAGCATTGCTCCTTGCCCACTTGTGTGTGCGTGTGTTTTTCTTTCGAATAAATGAGAAAAAAGGACAAGTCTGCTATGATGCCGACGACGATCTTTTTCGGGCGAACATTGTTTTTTTTTGTAGAATCACTTCCTTATCGGAAATGGAGAGAAGAAAAGCTTCTAGTTCTTCATTTTCATGGTCGGGCCAAAGTAACACCTTGTGACTCAACGAAGTAAAGTGTTTTTTTTTAAAGATGTATATTTTGTGTTGTAAAGGATTTAAAGAATCCCCATAGCGAGTAAGAATGGCTGTAGTCATGTCCGGGTCCATGTGACAATGTTGTAAACACTCTGCCACGGAGGGGGAGACATTATTCCCCAGGAGTTTCAGGGGCTTATTTTCATTTTTAATGATCTTTCCTGACACTCGCTTCTGAGCACTTTTTTAAACCCTCCGTACGTGCAACCTCTTTAAACATTTATTTTCACGGGTGATTTTATATTCAAGAAACAATTCATAGTAAATAGATCCCCATAAATCACCCTACAATTTCTTAGCCACACCCTGTTAATGCCTAATCTGGTGGATTTCGTGAAAGTCCGGCAACTGAGTTTCTTGTTAACGGGCGATTTGCCATTATTTTCACAAAACGAAAATGCTGAAACGCAAGTCTCGGAGTACAAATTGGCTGATTGCTCAAAATCATGAAAAGCGAAGCCTTTGATAAACGTCGATGATCGCAGGGAATTCTGGCTTCTACACTTTTGAAGGTTGTTTGGTATTTACTAGGATACTTTAAAATGATCCTGTCAGGATAACCTTCTGATCTTTTGCAAATTGTTTTTCCAACTGTGACTCATCCATCGGGTGTGCGTTTTCATCTAGAGCTTCTCTACTTCAAAATTTACTCATTAAAAACAAATTTATGACTGCTTTCATCTTCGCGTATCTGGACGTGTTTATTCTCAGTTCAGTGCGTGTTGAATGAAACTAAAGTCACCACAGGCTTTAAAAAAAATCAGCTCTAAAATTCAGCTGTTAGCCTATATTTTAACTAGCAAGTATGAGTGTCCTGCTGGCAACAAGAGCTACCTTCATTGTAGTTACAACTGAAATATTCTCTTAGAGAATGGAATAGTGGACTGCTCATCCAGGTCATCTCAGCTCAAATCGTTGTGGAAGTGATCTTGTAGTTTGTAAATTCTAGTCTTTGGTTAGAGCTTGCTGTTCAAGTTTGAGTATGTAATTCTTATTGCACCTAAAATTGTTTGTGACTTGTGTGTGCTGTTCGTTAAAGTTGGCATTTTTTTGAAACCAACAAAACAGATGTTAATATATTGTTCCATGCTTTGTGGTCAAGGTGCTGAAATATCATGTAATTTTTGTGTCAGAATTATGGGGAAGTGCATGAAAGGTAATCAAAATATTGACCTATATTGCACCCACAGTAATTTTTCAAGCACTTCAGTGCCTATCACTTTTTTGTATAAAATTAAAGTTAAGATCAAATTTATTATTTTAGAACTTAATTTAGTTCTAAAGAATCCAAGTTTAGTACGTATTTAAGTATGTATTCAAGAGGGTATGTGAACTACTTTACTTTTGTAACAAAATATTCTAATTGAATATTGGAATAACTATCAGGTGTTATAAAGCAATGCTCATTCAAAATGACATCAGCATGTTATTCTGAAAGAAACTGAACTCGCAGTTGAACGGGAAGTGGTACAAATGAACTCCAGCGATAGGATTAAATTTCTCAGCCAATAATATCGGTTGCCCAACTGAAAATTGGATTCTATTGTCTATCTTGTTATCACAATAATGTTAGTCTTCTGTAGAAACAGGGCATAAATGATTAAATTAGAGTGCATGCAACAATGTGCATTTTGTCTGTACTGACTCATGAAATGGTTAGATGAGATTAGTTTAGGTTTCTGTGGGTAAAACATTTAACAGGGATCACGTGATTGATCCTTGAATTATGCTATCGGTAGTAATGTTTTTGAAAAAAATATATTGAACTGTAAAATAAACAGCTTTTATACAAATCAACATAGTTTAAAAGTATGCTTAAGTTTTAATTTACAATTGGCAGCTCAGAAACAGGCCTTGATTCCTTAAAATAAACCTTGTTTTCTACACTAGAACTCAGTTATGAAGATTTTATTTTAAACCATGGCATCACTTTCACATCACTTATGCTAGTGTCACAACTGTAGCAAAACAGTTTGTATCCTATATGGTGATTCAATGTAAGAGGCTCACTGCAAAAGATTGAAAAGTTGCATGAGATAACAGATGATATAGTCAGTTAATTTTTGTGGACACTTTGAGCAGGAGAGATGTAGAAGGGTGGAGTGTATTAGCAAGAATTGTACTTTTTTAAGGCAGCTTGACCGGGGGCATTGGCATTGTTGGAGCAGGGAAGAAGATAGATATGCAGTAAAATATATTGAGGGTTTAAACTTCTGGAGTAGAGTCGGATAAAGTGCAGGTAACAGAATTTAGATAGATAGAGGACGGTCATGCTGTGATTGAAACAGTTGGTACTTAGTCAATGTAGACAATTCCCTGTATTTCATATATTAAGCATCTCATAATGTGAGAAGGAAGCATGATTTTGACAGAGATGGCTAGCTATTGATTTGGTTGATATGCTGTCTTTCCATTCCTGTTGCATGTCTTTTTTCACTCAGTCCTGTTTAGTTTGTTCTAGGCATCATACTGCTGCTGACGACCTATGTACCTTGTTAAAATCCTTGCTTGTCTACATTTGAGTGATTTTGTTCTCTGGCTTATTGCCAAATTTTTTCAATGATTCGTGATATATCTGGTCAGCTGGTCCTTGTCTAGAAATGAATGTTTATTTAATGTCAGTCGGAATTACTTGTGTAAAGATCCACTATTCCACACAACCTGCTTAAATGATTAATATGGATCTGCTCTGAAATAATCACAAATCTAAATTTAACTGTAGCAAGTGATGAGAACAGCTTAATTTAGATTTGGTCTGAACGTGATGTACCCTCCTCCAGTATCATTGTAATGTGGGAAGGCATCGACCTAATTGTTCGAAGTCTTGTCATGTAATTATCATGACAGTCTTTTTTCCTCAACAGTTTTTATTGCGATGGCTTTGCAGAAATTGAGTTGTGACCAAGTCTGTGATAATGTTTTGTTATTGATCTGCAACACGTGCACAATATTTGTTGCCGTTTATCTTCTGTGGTCTCTGACTGTTTCTAACACATCAGGTGAGAGATGGAAACATGAGCCCAATTTGTTTTGATTCTTGCTGCTGACAAAGGGGGAATTGATGAGTCGTAGAGTCATACAACAGGGAAACAGGCTTTTTGGTCCAGCCAGTCCACACCGACCAAGTTCCCAAACTAAACTCGTCCCACCTGCCTGTGCTTGGCCCATATCCCTCCAAACCTTTACTGTTGATGACCTTATCCAAATGTCTTTTAAATGTTATAACTGTATCTGCATCCCACCACTTTCTCTGGCAGCTCATTCCACACACGAACTACACTGTGTGTAAACAAAAAAAAAGTTGCCCCTCGTGATCTTAACATTTTTTCTCTTTCCAAGTTTTTATCAGCTTTGGACTTTAATGATAGTGACAAACACATAATTTAATACAAATAGCATGGTGTGAGGTAAAATAGATGGCATGGATAGAGGTTTGCTAAGTTAGCCAGAAGCAGAATGTCGCCATAAATTGGTCATTTTCAGATCGGCAAGATGTGACAAATGGAGTGCCGTAGGAACCAGTGCTAGGGCCTCAACTGTTCACAATGTATATCAATAACTTGAATGAAAGGCCCAAATGTATTGTAAAAAAATTAGCTGGCATAAAGATATTTAGGAAAATAAGTTGTAAAGGAGGAATAAGCCTACAAAGAGATATACTAAGTGGGCAAAAAGTTAGCAGATGGAGTAACATGCAGAAAAATGTGAATGTGCTCGCTTTGTCCAGTTTAGATAGAGAAAGATGGCAGAACTCATTGCAGAGCGATCTAGGTGACCTAAAAAAGGAATCACACAAACCTAGCATGCAGGTTCAGAAAGTGATTGGGAAGGCAAATGCAATGTTGTTTATTGCAAGGGGAATGGAATATAAAAATTGGGATGTTTTGCTGCAGTTGTGTGTAGTCTTGAAGAAATCGCATAGAGTCATATTGCATGGAAACAGACTCTTCAGTCTAACCAGTCCATGCCGATCTTAATCCCAAACTGAACTAGCCCCACTTGCCTGCATTTGGCCCATATCCCTGCAAACATTTCTTATTCATATACTTGTGTAAATGTCTTTTAAATGTTGTAACTGTACCCGCATCCACCACTTCCTGTGGAAGTTCATTCTACACTGAACCACTCTTGTGTTTAAAAAAAAAACAATTGCCCCCATGCCTTTATAAAATCTTTATCCTCTCACCTTAAAAATATGCTCCCCTC